CCGTCAGCGGGTTGTGCAGGTGACGCTATCTACTGGACCGGCTCGGTCTGTGGTGTGGGCTGCAGTAGCAGCCAGAAGAGGCGTGCGTGGACAAAAGGTGTTGAGACCACCTTCCGCCTGTCGCCGCCAGAGAAGAAACAAAGGAAAGGGGGCACGACAGTGCTGTGATGGATGATTTCATCTGGTAGTGCGGGCAGATCTTCTCGAAGGAAGAGCTTGCCTTCATCAGCTTGACGAATTTGTCGAAATCTCTGCCTATTGCCTTGTTGATCGCCATGGTCGGTGAGGGTAGAGTCTTCCGCACTTTCTGCACGCACATCAACAGGGCAGCTGAGGAATTTCCATCCGGACTGGAACGCGACTTCGCCCAGCATTTCTCTGTAAGCTTTCTCGAATTTTGGAAACAGGCACTCTGCAACACCCCGTCGGCCCCTACACCGACCTACAGCAGCGTAGCTGCCACTGCCACTGCCGCCGCCATCGCCACCGTCTCTCCCATTCGACCATCCACCACCTCATCTGTTTACCCACAGCCGCTTCCTACAGCTACGCATCGCCAAGGGCAACGAACACCTGCCCCATCCCGAGAAGACCTTCGAGTTTTCGTCCGGCTCGACGCCGATTTGCCGGCGAGGAACCACATCGGCTACGTCATTCGCGCTCACGTTGCGAGCAAGACCGGACTTGAACTCAACAAAATCCCGCAAGTCGTTCAAGTGAACACAGGTTGGGCCATCCGTGCTGTAGACAAGACTACTCGTGACCTCCTTTTAGAACGCCAGGCCGAATGGGCCGATGATCTCGGCGCATCCGCCGTCGAGGCCTGGCATACGTACGCAGTGAACAACTGCCCCGAAGACTGACTGATCTCTGCGGGAACGAAATTGACTACGACACAGCCGTCCGTGACGAAATAAACCGCCAGACTGGCCTTACACCGGTCAGCATCCGAACCCCACGCCGCGACAATGAACGGCTTCCTTACAAGACCCTCATCATTTCCTTCCTTGAGCCAACGAAACGACCTTGGAGTCTGTTCGGTACCAGCCGACCAGCCAGGCTCATCGAGAACAACAACCCTCCAAAACAGTGTGACAATTGCTGGGGCTTTCATACACGACATGCATGCAACAGACAGACACGCTGCAAGCATTGTGGAAAGACCGGCCACACCAGTGAAAGCTGCGGTGCGGCCGAGTAATGCGCCAGCTGTCTCTAGGCATGGCTTGAGCCATCTGTTGATTGATACTGATATCTAGCGTGTGAGTGGCCCTGGACTGAATGCAGGAGAAAGTCAAGTATGTCTTGGCCCAGCCGAGTACACATTTTGGAGTACATGTCCTGCAGAATGGCGACTCCAGACTCATTAACGCCGTTGTCTGGTCCGCGACAACCAGGGATGATTTTTAAATGTGCCGCAGGAGGAACATATTTATGCTTGTGGTTGCTAAGCCAGTTGAAGCAAAAGTAACAGGCTGGTTTGCTACAGCCAATATACTTATCATCACCCACGAACTCCAAAAACCTTCTACTGAACCTGTCCGCGATCTGCAGTTCCGAATGTACCCTGGTGGTGATGGTGCGCCGTTGTGATAACCGTACACGCACGTCGGCTGACCCAGAGGGCAGGTCAAGCTCAACAAGTGAGTGCAGTGCTGCTGCATTTTGAAGAGGATTTTGAGAAACCGGATCCTGGCAAATACCGCGGAAAACCTCGTATGGGCTCAGCGCCCATTGATCTAACGCCACCTCCTTGATACCCGGAGCTTCGACCGTTCGGATGCAGGATATTTGCTGAAGCGCCGGGATCCTCATCATTCCTTTGATGACGGCGAGGACAGATGATCGGGTTGCACCAAGACGTCCGATATAATGGGCCAATTTATCGTAATCATCTAGTGCATTTTTTGACCTTCTCTTGATTTCATCAATGTCTAGTCCTCGCATGTGGTAGCAAAAGTCGACAACATCAGTAAGCATCATTCTCGGTGGTGGCTCGGAAAGTTTCCTAAGTTTTCTTCGAAGGCTCATCACTTTACATGTCAACATTATTCTGTCTATAAAGGCATAAACAACTTACCAGCATCATTCTGCGTTTCTCTCTTTAACTGCATTCTACAGTTTCTCGCGAGCCTCTTCATCTCGTCCTGGTACACGATAATCCGAGGACTGCATCTCTCAACGGCCAAGTGGAAGATCTCACCTTGAGCATCCTGTTCGCAGTCGGGGTTCAAATTCTTCAGTTTCAACAGAATATTCTCCGCGTAAATTTTAATGTCGTTGCGTACTCCCTCGTTTGCTGCTAACCAGAGGATGTTGCTTTCAGGAAGCTTCTGTAGCCCTGCAGCAGTCACCGTCGCTCCCCCTTTCTGAACGTCGCAAAGATAGGCAAACGAATCCAAAAAGGCTCTACGGGTTTCGACAACTTCGTCGCTAGAAGGTGTTCGGCGTTCGCTCCTACTCTTGAATCGAGCTAGCGCTTCGAACAGTGCAAGTCTTGGGTATAATTCTTTCGATAGAGTTGCGAAGGTTTGTTCCCAAAGGGCATCCCAATCTATTGATTCACCAGAAGCCCTCGACAACATCGAGCGCGGCGCGATCGGGGGTGTCCGTGTGGACATTTTGACTGTTCAAGCTGTCTGGTTCGAAGATCTTGTCGAACTGCAATGTGGGAATTTGGAACATGTAACCATGTTTTCGTTCGTCGACCTACTTCGCTTTGTGCCTTATATGTCCAAGAGTGGAAGCTTCTAGCAAGGCTTCCGAAGAAGCCTTGGGCAGCGCGCGGGGTAGTGTAGCACAGCATTGAAGGCATCAATATGACTTGTCGGGCAAAATACACAAATAGGCAGTTGGCTAGGCCCTGTCACCTTCAGTCATATTAGACCAGCACCTGCTTGAGTCTACCAGACATATGTACTGGCTCCCTTTCAGCTCACTGTTCATAGGCCAGAACCCAAACATCAGTACCGAGTATAGACTGACGGCTGCGCGGCTGCACGGCCACAGTGCGGTCCAAATCTGGCTGCCTGCTATTATCCTTGCTTAAACGAAAGGGGGCCATCTGTTTCGCCTGTCACAGTACTGTTTGCATCAAGCATACTCCTATTAGCTGCAGATATGCTCCCATGATCCGCACGCTACTGCTGGCGGTACGCATATCGCAGTTGGCCGTAAGTATTTGTCATGATACTACCGTTGGCCGTGCGTACACTGCGGTTGGCTGCAAGTTTGTGTAGTGATACTACCGTTGGTTGTGCGTATGCCGCAGTTGGCCGTAAGTGTTTGTCATGATACTACCGTTGGCTGCGTGCACTGCAGTTGGCTGCAAGTATGCTGGTAGTAAAGTATTGCGGTAAGTACACTAGTGGTGATGACAAGGCAACTTCCGGTGAAGTCTCAGAGAGCCGCTTATGCAGACGATGATGGCAATGGCTTTTCCATAGAATCGAGCAAGGCTCCTTGCTGTAGTCTTGCAGTGACGGGGTAGAAACACAGTCCCTGCTGCCAATATCCATCCAACAAGATGCTCCGTCAAGTTGATCCGGGTGGAATGCCCGGAGCACAGTGTCCTCGAAGCGCTTTAACGTTTCCTCCAAAGTATCCCGACCAAAAGTGTTCTTCAAATCGTGCGATTGAATGACCAGTTGAGGGTCCTCAAAGTACTTTACTTTTTACACCTCTTGTCGTTTGTATCTCGACCGCATTTGCCTTTTTGACTACTTTTTCCTAAACTGGGGCAGAACATGTGCTGGGATTGTGTACTGGAGGCGAAAGGACCGGGACTCATCGTCTACTTTTCACCTGTTATTGCCGGGCTTCTCCTGGAATGAACGCGATTTTGCGTAGACGATGTTATACGACTGGGGAATTTCCTGTTGGGACGGATCAGGGACTGCCTTATACACGGCCGGAATAATGATTTTGTCGTAAAAGTCTTTCTGTTGCCGCAACGAGAGTGCGTTTTTGGTCGCCAACGTGCCTGATTTTGAGTGCTTGGCGGCTTTGGGAAAGAAGACAAAGGCAGAGAAGCATCTGTCAGGCGCTCTGCGCGCACTGCGCGCACTGGAGGCCCCGGACGGGGTTGGATTCTCTGGGTGCAGGGCAACGAGATCAATCCTTTACTGCTGTG